TGTAAGAAAACTAAAAATGCATTAAATCATAATGATATACAAATAACATTTCAAATTAATACCGGGACTTAAATTTTATGCTGTTTATCAAAGAAAGTCTGACGCACTGATGAAAGCCTGGTAAAAATAATTATTTTCACACACCTAATGTGTCAGGAAGCCATGGAAACACAAAATAATATAGATAATATCTGATGCAAGTGATGACTGTAAAGTAACTCTGGGAGGGATTGGAGTTATGTGAGGACACTTCTGCTCTGTTTTTTTTTTTTTTTTTTTGTTTTTTTCTTTTGCAATGCTTTTTATTTTGTTGAACTCCCTGACCACTGTAAGATCAGAACTGAAAGATTAAGTTTATTTAACATGCCTACACATCTGGGGCCCCTAAGCCAGAGCCTTTTGTGTGATGTCAATGCCTTTGTATTGAACGGACAGATATGAGTGGTATCAATCTTCTTATCTACGTCTTGATGAGAATGCGCAAAAAGACCATATGTATGAAATCTAAAAGGGTTAATATAAACTTGCATCTTGTGTTCAGCATACTCTGGCATGATTTTTAAAAAATTGTTCCTTACTAATCACATCTTTGAACGCATCTGCAGTTTGGGCACAAGTGATTTTTTTCTTTGTCTCATGTTGCTTTGAAAACTCTAATATCTGATAAATGCAGCTAATTTCACATTCAAGCTAACATGAGCAAATTTCGTAGAACTGTAGAAGTAATCGATAAAGCCCTTTAACATGAGATTTTGACATTATGTGGTCTACCCCAGAAATCATATGATCAAATTCATATTTAAATCTTGTCTTAACACCTTCGAATATCTTGTGTTAAGCACTTTGCATTGCTTCGTTGTGAATGGGTGCTATATAAATGAACTCACCTTACCCTTTGTTTATAAGATAATAAGCAGTTCATTGAAGACCGTAATTAACACCCTTTAGATTATGTTTGTTATCCAATAATTGTAAACTAAAGTAACACATATGAAAACAAAGTAATATCCAGTCAATATGATGCAAAGTTTATGTGATTTAATCATATAGTTTCAAACTTGACAGAACTTCCTGTATGTAGCTCTGGCATTAAGACACACTGTGATTGGCCTGGTTTTGTTTAAAACTTCTGTAAGAATTAATGTAACTCATAATTACAGCTCTGACATTATTCGTCATTATGAAGTATGTCTGGTATTGCTGTCTCAAATTGTGGCCAATTTGGAAGCAGACCCCAATCAGGTTGAACCCTCTTTGCTCTGTTCCAGGAAGTAATTAATCTTAACCTGGGTGGCAGTGGTTAATTAAATATTGAGGCAGCTTAAATGCCTGCGCTGTCGCTCTGCTTTATCGGTCATTTCCTAAAATGATAGTCCCATCTCTTTTCTCTGGTCTGTATCTGAAGGCACACACTTGTTCCCTTATCGGCTCTATCAGGTAAAACCACAGCTGCGGTACATTGTGTTTTAGAGAATAAAATAATTTGAGTACTGCAAGTTTTCAGGAACATTTCAGTCCAGAGTAGAAAGCTGGTGATAGCTGGTATAGACTTACACAACTCGCTCGCACAGACATACAGCAAAATTACTATCAAATTGCATTTGGCATAAATAAATCCACAAAAAATAAAATCCTCTTTTCCCACTGTATGGGTGGAAGGTGATTAGAGTCCTGCACTTTCATCAGATGAATTTTGATATTCCAGAGGAGTCTGGGATTACACTGGCAGGCGATTTACTGTGAGGTTATAATCTGCTTTGTCTATGCTCTGCTCTCTCTACCTCAGGCTGCTTTTATTTTGTATTCAATCAAGACATTTACGAGTTGAGTCAGATTTTACAGTGATGGCCTGAAATCTAGAAAATGCTTCTTTATGAGAATGAGGAAGACAAGGAAATAAAAAGATGAATGGATAAAGGTGTTGTATGCAAGTTTTTCACCCCTGGGAAATTACATATTACATAATTATAAGCATTTGCATTTATTTTCACATTTATTTGTTTATTTATGTCTGAATATATTTATTTACATATAAATTTAAAAGTATCAATTTATTTATTGCATATAAATTACTCTTTTTTTGTAGTTTTTTTTTTATTGAACTATTTTAATATAATGTTATTCATTCATTTTTATCCCTTTATTTTTCCTTATTCTTTTCCCTAATGCTTATGCTATTCCAAGAAGGGCCAAGCTGTCAATCAACTGGTTTTGGGCGGGCCTTCTTGCCCAGACTGAGTAGTCCATTCTTGCACACATGAATCCTGCTCTGTCGGGAGCCTTTTAGTGCAGTTGGGTAATTTAATCTACAACAAAGCATCATATTTTTTAAACTCTTCATATGTTTTGTATGTAAATCTCTTTGTTTTAAAGTGACTGTCAGATAAATGTATGCAGCATGTATTGTAGTAAACAGTACAATATTTCCCTGTGGTGCAGCAGAAGTATAAAGTGGCATGAAAAGAAAATAATCAAGTAGAGTACAAGTACCTCAGATTTGTACTTAGATGTGTACATGAGTACATGTACTTGGGTACATTCCACTACTGTCATCTAGTAATACAGTACCAGCTGGTTTCTACCCATGTTACTCAGCCATGTGGGAAATTCAATTCAGATTAGAGCCAGATGTGGCTTCCAGACAGTTTAAGCGTTGTGAGGATTAAAACTGACTCCACATTACCTACTGCACTGTAACACAATAAACCATAGTGCAGATTTTGGGGCGATGCAGGGGTCTTTTTTTCTTTTTTTTTTACTTCCAAAATATGAATATGAATAAGAGATAATACAACCACTGAATCTTTTGCAGCAAATGTAATTATCACCACAGACACACACACACACAGTGTTGTGATCTCAGTCAATAGTGTCACAGCGTATTATACAATATTAAGATTTTTTTTTTTCTCAACGTCTCAAAACCAAGCAAGTTGTGAGCCAATAGGTAACGTTTTTTAATTTACTTTTAGAAGTGCTGTTTACTAGCTTGCTAACTAATCTTAAGGGTAATGTAGCCTGCCCATACAAGCCTCGTCATCTAGCTGAAATAGCAGCAGACAAACTAATCTAGCATTAGCTGTGCAGCAGCTGTCCAAAGACCGTCTGAAGAAAGGCAGCATGTGATTTGTTGACAGCATGGGACGTTTTTGATTTAGAGAGCCTTCCTGCATTATATTCTATTATATTTTAAAATTGTCACCTGGTGCCTGAATTTTGTGTTTTTCTTTAACCAAATAAAGATATTTCCACCTTAAACTGCAGGAAATGAAAAGTTTGATATTCAAACTTTCCTGGGGGACGACCACCAGACGCCCCACTGTATGTGCCCTCACAGTGGCCAAACGAAACCTACGCCCAATGCAGTAAACAACCAGCAGCAGACGAACACACTTGTGTCTCTCAGGTGTATCTGGCTGCAGGTGAGTATTCTGCCGTTTGCTCACTGACCTGAAGCTCTGGAGCTGCTGGACTCCAACAACTCTGATGACTTCTGTGATTTAACTGTTCTGTGAAACTGAGTTCAGAGAATTGTGCGTCAAAATCCCTACTGGGTGGTTGAATAATTGATATACAGTGAGGCGACAGCAAATGAAACGTCCTTGACACTGGATAATAGTTGTGTAGGTATAAAGACATTATCAATTTGATGTTGAGAGATTGACGGGTGATTTCCATCCAGGAGCACAAAATAAAACCACATCCATTTTCATTTAATAGACCTTTCATCCTTTTGTGAAAACTGCCAAATGGAAATTAAGAGTAAATTTGTTCTTGAGGAATAAATTATGCCCCAAATGGGACCTGTCAGGTTACTGTAATTTGCTCTCACCCATGGAAGAAACAAATGTAGCTAAAGGGTGCCACCTACTGGCCACATCTGGTTACTGCTGCAGCAACCGCCTCCAGCAAGGATCTCAAAACATTTATCAGAAGGTATCTCAGGACATTTACTCCTGTGCTGTGTTTAAGTACAACCTGGAGGTACTGAACACGAAAATAAGTAACAGTTTGAGACTGAAAGAACTCAAAGATTAGGGGAAAAAGTACAAATTGTGTAATTGCAAGTTTTTTCCTTCCTTTACCATTACTCATCTCGCAATCTCTGCTGCAACAGTAAATTGCTGAACATGCACGAATGCATCAGAAATAACAATCTAATAATGTAACATATATCAGTCACAGTGGTGATTTTTCTGTCTTCCTTTGATACTTGAAGTATATTTTGCTCTTATTTCTGTACTTCAATTACGAGTTTGACTCCAGGACCTTTACTTTTATCAGAGTATTGCTGCTCTGCTTCTTCCAGTGATGTGGTGACCTGCCTACTGGAAATAAAATCAAAACCTAAACACATGATCTCTGAAAGTGCCTATAAGGAAAACAAACACTTGGCCTTTATCATTATGGGCCCTTTTTACATCATGGTAATAAAATCACATGTAAACACTAAAATGAATGATGGTTGAATTCCACTCAGCTGCTTCAGTTCCTGGTACTGTGCATGCTGACGTACTTGGACACTTAAATACAACAGTCATGAATAATATTGGAAGTATAAGTAACAACTGTGTTTACTTTACTATGACAAGCCAAAATGTCTATGAAAAAAAGCCTATGAACCGGCTTTTAATGCTCAACAGACCAGTTCTTAACTCAGAAACCACAACTACTTCATGTTTACATTTTATAAGGCTAAAAGGCCAAAAAGGCTAATTTTATGTCAACAGGTGGGTTACATTAAATACATAAAAATTTGAGTATAATCAGTGTAAATCAGTGATAGGCTTCATTCAACAAATGGTCACAGGCAAAATACAGAATTTATGTTTTAGTACATTCACCCTCACAGATGTAATGCTAGTGGCATTAAATACCTTTGGGACAAGAACAAGGGGGGGGGACTCCACACTTTGAAGGCCCACAGTGCGAGTATGTCTTAAGTCTAAAACTACTGTATGTGCAGCTTTTGTCCACAAATGTCAAAAACACAAACAAGATATTGGAAACAACTTGAATCATTTATTTTGGACTGAATCAATGAATACAAAAACATTTGGGGTTGACCTGACAGTGCGAAAACCACAGAAAGTATTTACAAATGTGTTATCTACAACAAGGAATGGGATACTTGAAATCGGCTTTCCCAAAATGGGCAAAAATAGAGAGAGAGAGACACAAAAGGGGAGTCAACAAGTGCTGAATTAACACGGGACTGTCAGGAGCACGACGAGCTGCTCTCAACACCTGTTCAGAGTCAAAGCACTGAAGCTTTATCACATCACACAGATGGCATCATTCATACGGCTGACAGCTGACTGTTTATAAAAAGTTGACACTAAACCTCCCTGCTGTTAATGTCTCATTAGACAGGAGGAGATCAGAGACCTCAAACAGAGTGATGATCCACCACCATGAGATCACTTCAGCCCTTCAATCGCTCAGGACAAGTCCCAGTCACCTGCTTTTCTCTATTCTTCCTTTTGGGCTTTTAGAAACAACTTAGGAAGCCTCTTCATCGATTTTCGGTGCCAAGTAGTATTTGATGTGTCCCATGTCAGCAATCTTGTACTCCACCACTGTAGGAAAGAAAAACATCAAAGTTAGGGCCACACAAAGTTTTGCAAACATGTTGAGAAACCAAATGAAAAGATCGATTTGAGAAGAGGATAGATTTACTCACCGAGGGGGATGTCAGCAGACATGCTGAGGGTGACTGTCTTGGACAGTGGCGTGGCCTTGGTGAAGAAGTTCAGGTAGTTGAGGGCAAAGATCAGCTGGACGGGTTCATTCATCTCAATAGTAACCTAAAATCAGAAAGCGAAGGGGAACGGTCAAACCTTTTGCATATGCCATCACAACAGTAAAAGTAGAGGACTGCTCATTATCATGGTGTCTAATAATGTTACTTTTAGTACTGCTTGACTATCGACTGTAGAAACCGACATGTTTATATTACCAACACTGGAACTGAATGATTCACATTGCCCTCAAAAACCTTTACTGATTAGCAAAAATATTTGTAGATTAATCTACTGTCAATTGAATCATCAATTAATAGTTTCAGCTTTAAAGTCAAGATCTTAAATCTTGGTTCTAGGGAGAAAACCAAACAGGCAGCAATAAATATTTTGAATATTTTAGTTTGAATTAATCAGCATATATAAAAATCTGAAACTGGCAAAAGTTGATGTCCTAAAAGTGGTGCTGTCATCACAGACAAAAAAAAAAATCTTATTGTATTAAATTAATGACACATAGTAGAGAAAGGGAAGAAACCATCAGCATCTGAGAAGCTTTAAGCAGCGAGTGGATTGTACTTTTGATTTTTTTTAAATTAGTTAATCAATTTAAAAAATAAAAGAGACCCAAGTATTTGCAGTGTTATCAAAAACTACAACAGCTTTGCAATGACACTACTGTTTCTAAATTATCAAACAACTCTATACTACAGTTTCTTACTCGCCAGCTTACACATATCAATGCACCTGTGATGAGATGATATCAGCCTATAAGATTGGATTGCTCATTTTCAGTCAGGCTCTACTAAGCGTTATGTGCACATTATTCTGATTTTAACACAATCTAATATTAATGCTCACCGCCTCGTCCTCTTTGTCTACGTTGCTGGTCTGGGACAGCTTGATGTTTCCTGTTCCCAGCTCTCCTGAGGCAGAGAATTTGACTCCGTCCTTGGCGCAGGAGATCATGACGGCGTCACCGATCTGGGACAGGTCACGGCAGATACGGGCAAACTCCCCTGAGGGCATCTTCACCACACAGCTGTACTCCTGCTCCTGGAGGGACAGATAGTTGGGGAAAGGTCAGGAACAGTGTGCATGAAAAACATGTTTGACAGAAAAAAAGGACAAGGACAGGCAACAGATTACTTACTGGAATACCCAGCTGCTCCACATCCAGGTCCATCAATTTCATCTCATAATCTGAGACTTTCTCCTGGTCTGTAAGAGTGAAGAGAGATAAATGAGGCATGAATGTTGAAGAAACGTAGCTAAACAACATCTGTCAAGTTGATGTCGTGCTGCTGTATTGTTAATAAGTCAAAAACTTACTGAGTGTCTCAAACACAAGGGCGAGAGTGTCTGCATTGTCTTCTGCTCTGAGGGTGATGATGTCCTCGTTTCCTGCACACTTCAGGATTTTTGACATACTGGATGGGATTGACAAAAGAGAAAAAACAAGTCAAAGGTGAGTTACAAACCACAAGGGACAGAAAATGCTTTAAAAAAAGGCAGTAAATGTTATATGCTCAAAAAACATAACTTCCAATATGCATAAAAGTAAATGTTATCAAGGAGAATTGCAATCAGAATACCACAAAACATTTGAAGGATTGGCCAAATCAACAAAATTAACAATTAACATTCTTGATTAATTGTATAAAAGTAATTTCCTGAAGAAAAATATATTGTTTCTAGCCTCTCAAATGTGAGTATGTGCTACTTTTCTGTTTATACAGCTGTAAATTCTTGTGATGGGCATTCCTCACATTCATGTATCAATCATAAAAATAACCCATGTCCAACTGTTTGCATTTCAGTGTCCTTGCTCACATAAACCTCTTATTCTAAATCTAGTTTGGATTTTTTTTGCAAGATTATACACTGAACATGTAAACTGAGTTTTGTGAACATAAGAGCAAGTTTACAAATTTTTATGTTTAAGAAAAGCATTCCCTAAAAGGGAAAATAGTAGGGTTGATTTTCATTGTTGATTAATCTACTGATTAATTAATTTTTATTTGCCCAAAAGTCCAAGTATTCAAGACTATTTAGTTTATGATAGAGCTTGATGACTAATTTTGATAACCAAATAGATGTTCAGACATTTTCAAAGTAAAAATGTCAAAAATTCCACCATCTCAAATATGAAGAAATTATGCATTTTTGAAGAGAAGAAAATAATTGGCAGATTACTTGATAATAGAAACAGTCGTTGGTTGCAGCCCTACTTTGCAAAGGTATAATTTGAGAGGCTGGAATCAGAATACTGAATTTTGCATTGTGTCCAAAAAAACCTGCAGGTTAATTATCTGTCGATTAAATAATCGATTCATCATTTACCCTCTATTTATAACCGCATTTTTTACGTCACATAAAAACATTTGATGGACGCCAAAATGTTTTAACTTAAAGATATATCCAGTAAACCGGTGTAATGTTACACGGACAGAAACTGGTGAAGCACAGGCGGAAGTGGAAGTTCCCGGGTTAAAAATCTATTCCCGCCAACCCTCCCTGCAGAGAATTTGGCGCTCAAATGACGTCGCTACGTAATCACAATGTAGCCGACGTTTCCCCCGAAACTGCGCCAAACGTAATTTCAACACAAGACAAAAAGCTGTTAGTTAAACCATTCGATCTATTAGTAAATTACATATTTGTAAACGGGTCTATTTGAGAGCTGACAGTAAAGAGTTATGGATGACAGCTCAGTGCACTACAGAGACATGCCCGGGCAACTCTGCCAAGATGGCTACCTTCTTTGTGAGCTTCAGATATTAGACACAGACCATTAGTTCCAGCTAAAAAAGATACCGAAATAATCGTTTAACCGTGTGCAACATTAGCGGTTTGCATTGGGCATAAAATTGGCTCACAAAACCAAACTTTTCGGTCGATTTTAGTAGTGGCCGAACTTTGGCAACCTCGACCTGTCAAACTAGCTATTAGTCAGCAGATACTTTAGCTCTATGTGCGCCTACAACCTAAAAACACAACAGAATGGTGTCAAAGACCGTGAAACATGATTTGTTTTCTGACTAAAAGAGCTGTAGGTAATGTTTGCTCCACCTGCTGAGGTTGACTCCCATGGCGAGGTTTCTGTCGCACCGGTACGAGTCGAAGCCATCGTGCCGCAGGGTGAGCTGTACCAGGGAGACGTGAGAGGAGTCCATGCTCTGCAGGGAGATGCCGGACGAGCTGACATCCCAGCAGGCTTCTGTGATCAGATCCTTCAGAGCCTCCAGCACCTTCTTCAGGATGGATCCCTGGACCAGGCGAGCCTCAAACATGGTTGCAGTGGAGTTTTTTTCGTGTGCGTAGGCTTCAAAAGAAGAGTTTCTGGTCGCTTTTGGCGTTACTCCGTCAAATTGGAGGCTGTAACTCGAAGTTATCACCGAGTGTGTTTGAGAGAGAGTCCCCCAAAAAGTTCAGCCTTTGTGTGTTGTTAGCTGACAGAGGTGCAGCACGCAGACGCCACTCTCACTGCAGAGGCAAGGTTTGAGCTGCAAGCGCGCGCTAACGTCGGGTTTTAATGATTCGGCGTCACTGCGTCACTTCCGCCTACTTGTTCCTACCTCCCGACCGCTAAAACGAATTGACATTGATTCCAGCCATGTTGGAGAGGACAATTGTGCAAACCGTGGAAATTGTGTTTGACTCAATTTCACCAAAATACATGTATATTTATATTTTTTCAAGGTGTTACTACCTACATATATAGACCCTCAAACTCATCACTCATTAAATGCAATTCAATGTGTGTACGGCCTACAATTATTGAATGACTTGTAAATAAGTCCTGTTTATAACAATAATTCATATTGATATACAGTTAGTTGGCAGTTTATAAGCTAAAACTAATACAGTCTAACTCAACTGACATGCTTTACCCTGATTGTCTGCTGTCTGTCTGATAATGCATGCACCTGTCTGTTAATGTCTATACATGTATATGTGCTGCAGAGTGTAACACAGTGTACTGAACAAAAATTCCCCCTGTCCTTGGCTATTAAACAATCTGATTCTGAATCTGAAGTGTCCTACAAATGACAAAAATTAACTTTTCAAATCTTTGTCTCTATTTTTCCTGTAGGCTAATGAGCCTACCAAACTACTTGGTTCTTTACAGAAAACTTACAAGAAATTATTTGGAAATAATGTTTCCTTTTTAAATGAGCTACGAAACTGATCCGAGATAAGGCTGACCATAATTGGCAATCATGTCTGACAGGCAGTGGTGGAAGCACAGCCAGATTAACCTCTATGGGGCCCCTGCTGTGATAAAAATCTTGTGAGCTGAAAAAAAAAGACTATCACTGGCAGTTCAGAAGACAGCAATTGAACCAGAGTAGTGCCACACCATTTCCTGAAGATGTTTTGTGTGATAGGGTGTATATATTCATATATAAAGTTGCAACACTTTTCCGTATCTTACCCCAAACTGGTCAATCCAACCTGACCATTCTCACATGCTCTTACCTAATTAATATTACATGTGTCTTGTCCTTTCCCCTAATTAGCTCATCCTTGACTAGAGCTGGATTTGGGCAGTATTCTCTAAGTTTATGTCTTTCTCTACATCCTTATTTATAAATCCTTGGTTACCCTAGCAACAGAGGATAGAAGTGTCTCCTTATGGCCACTATCAGTCATAATAATGGCTAAATAGTAAACCATTGTATAACACTGAAGGTCTTTATGACCTGAACTCTTGCAACGTGAGGCCTGCAAAATAGAAAACACTAGAAAACTTTTTCACACCTGCTGCCTCCATTTCTCCATCAAGTATCATGGAACACCATGATGAATTGTTTTCTATGTAGAATAAAAAAAGTCTTGAATTTAACTTTATGAAATCTGCAGAATCCCTCAATATAGTTGGTCAAGGTCGAGCTATTTCTTACTGCTTCAGACTGTTTTATATGTCAACTTTTAATTCGCAAAGTAACGTAGTAGTAGTAGTAGTAGTAGTAATGATTACAACTGTCAGATAAATGTATTGGAGTGAAAAGTACAATTTCCATGTGAAATGCAGTGGAGGAGAAGTATAAAGTGGCATTTGTAGTTAAAGTGGAAATTCTCAATTGAGGTACAAATACTTCAAAATGTATAAAATAGGTTATATGGAAAGAACACAATGAGCTCTGATTTGTTTTATTGATGAGTGATTAGTACTTGGTTAGACTGGCACACAGCGTCATTGATCACACAACCACGTCGCTGGTTTGTCACACACATACAGACGCACATTAAAAGGATGATATTTTAGTACTGCCTTTTAACCCCTGAGTATATATGGATTCAGGCCACTTAGGAACAGGGCGATACAGATGGGACAGATGTCACTAGATCTTACAAAATAGAGAAAATTCTTCCAGAAAAAAACCCGAGGTATTGGGGTAAGTCAGACATGAAAAATTGTACATTTTGCATTACATGTTGTGGCAGGGATTTTGTTTATATTTGGACGGTTACAAATTTGTGTTTTTAAGTGCAGATGCCGCAGTCTTTTTATACTTGTGGAATCTATTTAGAGACCACCAGGCATGATGTAGTTGGTTGCCATGGCGAGGATGGGGGCTCCTGTTGGGACACCGGGGAAAGGACCACTGGACCCGGCGATGTCAATGTGGGAGTATGGCAGAGGTGCGTTCGAGTCCACACCGTGCTGCGATGGAAATTCAGAAATGAAAATAACACAAGTTAATCACTGCACTTCTTCCATATTATATTTTGCATATTTGCAGATAAATAAAAACTTATTCGGAGTACGTGTGAGCACCTTGTCAAGCCCCGAGGCCATGATGAGGAAAGCTGCAGGGGCCTGATGTCCTCGAGGTGTAGCTGAGGACGGCAGGTTGTTGGACTGCAGAATGTCCTCGTATTCGGACTTGCCCTTGTGGAACTCGTAGTCCTCTCGCCGGATGCTGGACACCTCAAACACGTCGCCCAACACCTCTCCAGCTGCACGAAAAGTGGAGCAAAGACCATGTGTTAGTTGATGATGGGGAAGAGAAATCTGTCTATGAAGCAAATTGTGCTGGGATTGAGCCAGCGTATTATTTGATACAGTCACAATGGCGAAATCTGCTGGGCAGCCCGTGGTACTGCATGTGTAAGGAGGGATTAAATCCAAGAACATGATGAAACGGTACGATTCATCTCACTGCTGCCATTATGAATATTTTAGTCAATAATAGTTTTATTATAAAAATGAACCACTATTAAACAGAGTCTTACAGCTCTGTCTTTAAACATGGAGGCAGAGCTGAGAGAGTGACACCTCTCTTTGGTCAAATGGTTATTTTTTTTGCTGAGGTATAAAAACATACTTCTGCTATGACGTGTCGACACTGTGTCATGTGGTCTGCTTTGAATGCAACTTCAATAGTCTTAGAGATTAGAGTGGCAAACAGTGTTTATTTTTATTATCAGCTAATAATTTCTAATTAAAATCCTCTCAAAAAATCAAAAGCTGTGACATTTATAAAAATGAATAAAACAAGATACTAAATTACCAAATATTCTGTATGTCTTAAAGTGGTTCTGTTTATAATGATATTAAACAGAGAGCAGCTTGCAACTCTTTGCATTGGAGAAGAAGTAACAAATATTTGATAATCAATTTGTCATTAACCTAAATAAATTTGCCAACAATCAAAAAATCAATTGATGGATTCTGGTTCAAATGAATGAACACAGGTGTTTCCATTCAAGTCACATTTTGCTTTGTAACTTTTTTTTCGTGTAGTTTGACAAAATAATTTTAATTTAAAGGATTACTCAAACGCTTTTCCCAGTGCTTTCTACCACATTTCAAAGTCTTCAATAGATGGAGGTTTCTCAGTTGTCAGTTATTACAACAACTGAGACAACTCCTAAAAAGTGGACCTTGATATATTTAAACACTATTTAGTTTCCAAGGCGATATATGAACTTTCACAATAAAATGTACTCTTCTCTTACCTTTCTGCCACTGAGCAGCATTCCCGCTGCGATGGGCTGGCCCATTATCCATGATGATCTACAACGAGAAATTTTAAACTGAACTCTACAGCAGCGGATTTTTTGATGTTTAAATATCAACATCTCTCAGTAAAACGCAGTAATTGTCTGTGCTTGAACAGTACTTACAGAGTAGTTGGGTCCCATGGCTCTGATGGCGTGACCAGTCAGAGTGGCGATAGTAAACAGCTCAGGAGAAGTCTCACATACTGCCTGCAGAAACAGATGACATGATCAGAAGGACAAGGGACCTCCTTAGTAAACGAAAGAAAACTATTCTTGGTCATGGATTGGCTGAACTTCACCTTGCTTGTAACTCAAGTTCAGAATATGTACAACATCTTAAAGTAGATGAAACAACATATAAACAAATATGGTAATTTTTGAAGAGAGATTTCCAGGATGAATCAAAGTTTGACAGAAATGTGTTTAAAATGTCACATGGAGGTGGGAAGATGTAGGTTGTAGTATGTCATGTGCTATGTAAACCATATATCATGGATCTAAGTCAAGTGTTTAATTCACATGGCCATAGTGTATCATTGATATTGTTGGGGACGTCTGTGTTGAAAAGCATAATAAAATGTCGTTACAAAAAAGAGGAGGGATGTAAGCGCAGAAAAGGGGGTTAGACTGTAAGAAGTAATTATAATGAGATGTTCTGACCTTCTCCTTCATCTCACAGAGCAGGTCGACCATCACCATACGTCCCTCGGCATCGGTGTTCCCCACTCTCACTCTACGACCCGCACGGGAAACCACCAGTTCATCGGCCACGTAGCAGTCTGAGAAGATACACGCATGCACAGTCAGCTGAGGGAGAGAGAGCTGTAACACAGGCCTCGCTGAGAGAAGTAAAAAAAAAAACAGCATAAATACAAATAATGGAAAAACGTGGATTAAACTGACCTGAACCCACACTGTTCCTCACCATGGCCATCGAGCCAATAACCTTCAGATGTTTCGGCTTCAGCTTAGCTAAAATCTAGAAGGCAAGAGGGACATTACTGAAGCGGCAGAGCTGTAAACACGTCACTGAAGCTCAGGTGTAACCTAGCTACCTGGGGTTGATTCCTGACCGAGAGGCACAAGTCCTGAAGGGCAGATTTTTATTTTGAAATCGCTGAGCCAAACCCAGAGATCAGCTTCTTTATCTCCCTGAGGGTTTGCTATTCAGGTCACTCACCTGGAAGAAGCCAGCTACGGCAGCAGCTCCGCACTTGTCCCTGTGCATCCCAGCCATGAATCCACCGGCCTTGATGTCAGCTCCTCCAGTGTCGTAGGTGATGCCCTGGAAACACAACATAAGATCCAACCTCTATTCATTGAGAAGTCAGTCACATAAAGATACAGTACAAGAGTTAACCAATTAAACAAAACTAACTAATAATCCATTAATCAAGAAAATAATATATAGATTAAGTGTTTTGTCTATAGAATGTCACAAAATAGCGAAATACAATTACAAACTATTACAATTATAAGAATTGTTTAAAAATAGATTATTTTTCTGTTGTTCGATGAATCAATTATTATTTGCATCTGTTTGTTCTAGATACTATGTGCATTACTTTACACTACACTACACATTTGGTATCTGGCAGGATATCACTCACTGATATCAAGGTAAACTTCAATCAATCAACAAACATGCAGCAAGTTCACCACCACCGTTCAATCCCAACCTTTCCCTAAACTATAGGTGGATGAAGCCATCACTCACAGCTCCAGAAAAACACATAATAGCAGATTTCTCCATATACTGTGGCTTGCGCAACATAGTTTAAGTGTTTTCAACAGATGCGGTACATGTCCGAAAACTAAAGTTTAACGGCAACAAATCACCTAGAGTGACGTAGAGTATCTGCTGATGTTTGATGAATGTTCTTTTGGGGATTTTGTTCTGAAATTATCTTGTGTTTTAAAAGGACACTTTGGTGAATATATGACTTGATATTTATTTCCAGAGTCAAGCTTTCCTTTAATGTTTTGGTGGTTCACAGACAGAAGTCCGACAGTTCCCTCTCACCTTTCCCACCAACATGAGTGTCTTCTGGATCGGTCCGTCTCCACAGTACTTCAGCCTGATGACTCTGGCCTGATGACGCGGTACACCTGTATGAGGAGGAAACTATGAATGAGTATGCAAACATCTTTAAAAACAGTTTGGTAAATCTGTGTCCAGAGCCTTGTTAATATGTGATGAAAACTAAATCTGGTCTCTTACTGTTGGCACAGCGGTTGACTGCAGCCAGACAGGGATACTCTTTCTCCAGAGTCTTCAGGTTGCTCACCACTTCCACCTGCAGGTGAATAAACACAGGCACGTTCTTAAAATGTTGTTTAAAGTGCCAGTGAAGAACCAAACACCCACACAGTTGCTCTGGACGGTGACTGAAAATTATTTCTACACATTATTTTTTTCTTAGGAGGAAAAATAGAGGACTGTTGACTTTCTCCCACAAATAAAATATGGAGTATCGTATGATTTAATATTTCTTAGTACCTGCACGGGGCTGTCCTTGAAGAGAGCCTGGACGTAATCAGCTGCGCGAGGAGCAGCCATACGCTCGGGGTCGGAGCCACCGATGTCACGACACGCCAGTCTGAGGACACACACACACACACACACACACACACACACACACACACACACACACACACACACACACACACACACACACACACACACACACACACACACACACACACCGGTGAGTGAATGACATGATGTGATAAAATCTCTGCAGGAAATGAGATCAGGTATTGTGAGTCACCTCCCGCTCTCCAGAGCATCAGCTAGCTCCACCAGCCTCCGTCCCTGAGCCTCCTGTGCAGCCCACAGCCCCAGAACACACACCTTGAAGTCAGTGGGTTTCACATTCCCCTCCCTCACTTCAAGGGGCTGTTATGGAAAAGACAGAATGTAAAAAGTGAGTGATTTCCATAGACTTTCCATAGACTAGTCAATGCCCACATCATTCAAACTCCACGCCACAGGACACATTATACGACTGTTTATACTGTGTATTGGCTAAGTGGCACTTCTCATGACTGGTAAACAAGTGCCAAGTGTGAACACTGCTTCTATGTCAGCTCCGGATGAGGAGGAGTTGTTCAGTTTTTTTCCTCACCATGTAGAGAGCCTGAAGGGCCCCGAGGGCAGCCACCAAGGTGCTGTTCTTATAGTCCTTGTGTGGAGGGCAGACCAACAGGGGGCGCTGCATGCCAGCTTTCAAGGCCCTGCAGGGACACACGGATGAGTAAGACAGGAAAGAAACTTGGGGAACATCCCACTCACCATCCAATTAAGAATAGCAGATCTGTAGGTCTGATTAATAAAACAACCACAAACATACATAACTCTTAAGTAAATAATAATTGATTTGTCAAACAACAGAAAAATAATCTATTTTTAAACGATTCTCATAATTGTTATTGTAGTTAAGCACAAATGTCAAACATTTACTTGTTATTTCCCCTTTTAGTCTGATTCATGGATAAGATTCTGAGAAGAGAGTCTTTCAAAACTAGTCACAGTTTACTCGTCTATCATCATTTCCAGAAACTACATAGTTTGATGTGAAATTTATTTAATTTCCACTTTTTCTAAAACATTTGAGCTGATAAATCATTTCTCCAAATTATAAAACATTCAAATCGCAGCCTGGATTACTGAATAATGAATTTACAAACCAATTATCAACAAATTGGAGGCCATTAAGGGAATTAAGATGTAGCTCTGGAGATAAACCAGCATCATGAGACACTAAGGAGGGAAAAAACCACCATCCACTGACCGCTTGATGCCGTTGACTGCTGCATCACTGAAGCGCCTGATGTCATCGTAGTCACGGTTTACAGGGCCGGTGGAGGCAAACACCAGGCGGTTACCAGGGAGACCAGGGACCTTGATGAGCACCACCTCCTCCCCCAAACCGCTGTCCACCTGGAAGTGAAGTAACACCACACAAGAAAACACAACCACATGTTATACCACCTCTCGTTTTGAGATTTGGAAGCAGAACAACACCTGAGAGAATAGAAACTTAGTGATCTCTTCTTCACTGTCCATCTTTGTTTACAGTGGTAGCACAAGACCGCTTGAGCAGTGGCTTATGATTAGCTTGAACCCCTTAACTGAAGCAGTGTCTGTTTGTGATCTCTTGTTACTGGTTGTACATTATATGACACAGCTGGGGCCTGACAGGTGAAATCACCCAGTGGAGGAATATCTGAAGAAAACGGTTCTAATAACTTCATTTCCACACTCTAGACATTTGACACATCACGTGTTCCTAACTTGAACATTTAAAACAAATAACTACAGTCCACACATAACATTTACAGCCCAATGCACAGATTTTCACTACGAAAAGGCACAGATGCAAAGACAATACTGGATTTTTCCGTCCTACATGAGAACATATTGTGTTATTCTTGACAGTGCATTTCTAGCTGTAATCTGCGTTTGGTGTGTGAGCGCATGTCAGTTTAGTCTGGGTGTAAAAGAGACAAAGGAAGAGCAGGTGAGATAAATAAATCTTTTGTAGGTTTTTGGGGTTGACTGGCTGCAGGTGGTGGGAGAGCAGATACTCACAGAGCTGTAGTCCTGCAGAGGAGCCTTCAGGCACTCGAGCTCAGAGGGCAATGTGTCATGGCTCTGGGTGACCAAGACGACGCCATCGAAACTAAAAAGAAGGAAAATGTGTTAGTCATCTAATGCAACTGTCTGTTAGGATGCACAATCTCTCGCAGAGAAAGAGGAAACACAGCATTTTTCCTGGTATACTCACTTCTGGTTCTTGAGGTTGGCGGTCCATTCCACAGGCTGGACACTGGAGAGAGAAACACACAAAAAGAATGTGTCATTTCCTCTTCTATATGCAATGGCAGCACTGCCTGACACAGATAGGCTATCTCAGACAGTGATGCAATAGGACTCAGCCAGTTTTTATAATGCAGGTTAAAGATAACAAAGTGGATTAAGTGTCGAACCCTGCAAGACCTTTGAGATCTGCTTTGATTTCAGCTGTGACAGGTTCACTTCTTGTCTCACTGCAGCAACAATGAAGACTTTGTGCCGAGTGTGCCACATTTTTTCTATTGTTGAAACAGGAATTTTCATCTCTTCAGCAGATCGCGAATCCACCCAAAGATTTTCAATGTTGATTTAGAACTATGTTTTGGATCATTGCCCTGTTGCGTGCTTTCAGTTTTGCTATCTTAACTGACTGCAGGACATTTGCATCCAGAGTATAATCGAGTCCATTCTCCCCTTTATCTGTGCAATGTGTCCTGTGCAACAATCCAATCCAATCCTGCTTAAATTGGTGCCCAACCTTTCAGTACATGTCACACTTACTGTTTTATTGGTATCATTTTTTTTAAAACTTAAGTTCATGAAATAAAACGTAACAGTGCATGAACATTTGAAGAAAGGCTGATTTGTGTATTTCCTGCATGGTTTATATTTACTTTACTCTACTCTTCACTTAAAGAATTTCTGTTTATAACAGATTTTCTTACACTCGTCAGACATTTTCGGGATCATATGACACCTGTGAATATAAGGAAATATAGTAATATTGGAAGTGAAACCTGAGCAAAAAGATGAATGTGTGGGCCCTTTTAATGGAAAATGAATCCACTTCTGTAGCAATATGAGAGGATCAGATGTTTCCGCTTTAAGCTGTGATTGAATAAACAAATGAATCACGATCACAGATAAATCAAATGACTACATTAAACCAGCGGACGCGTACATTATAGAGCTGTGGCTTAAAGTAGCGTATTAAAATTAAAAAAAACCTTCTCTGAGTCTCTTTGTCTGATGTTTCATGCAAACGTAAAGCAGCACGTTAGAAACCCGTGAAGGCAACACGAAAACCGTTTAAAATACAAACAGCCATTTGTCTCACCTGGTGCACATTTTGCTTCTCTTCCTCCGCTGTCTTCGGGGTGAAAGAGGCAATCAGAGACCCGGGGACTACGGATCCTGCCTACACTCTTCCCCGGTTGATCACATGATCCGTTAAGTTGCACTCGTGCTGCCTTCGCGGCCTTATCCTAACTCGTTAATACGAAACACCCTAGCCGTAAAATGCTACTTTACTCTGATTTAAGGGGCTTTTTGTCTCAAATAACATCAATTAGCAGTAGAGCAAAGCAACAAAATACATTTACTCAAGTACTATACTTAAGTACAGTTTTGAGGTACTTGTACCTTGCTAAAATTCCCACTGCATTTTAAGGCTCCTTAAAGGCTACACTCGGGAATTGTAGTTTCTTAAACTGATTAAAAAACATAAAAAGCCGCATTAAGAGGAACATATTAGCAGTGTATTATGTATTGTTAAACATAATATAATAAATATCACGAGCACGCTTTGCCATTTGTGTCGGTTCAGTAATTTGTCTCGTTTCTGACAGGTCTGACTTCGTGGACTACAAACACAAACCGGAAGCAGTTAAAAGTAATGAATTCTGTGCAGAACCGGAGAGGTGAGTTTTAACTAGAGACAGTGCAAAGGCCAGGAGAGAACTGGCAACCGTCACAGTTATTATGGCATTTTATCTGAGATAAGAGTCATTGCTACAAAGCTACAGCTCGAGCTACAGGTAGGCAGAAGTTACCAGCTACCGTGTTCATGCTTTTCTTATCGAGCTCATGATTTACAGCTCTGTAATCAAGTGATAGTCAATGATAATTGTACATCGTGTGGAAGACTTGCTGACATAATGGGTACTTATTTTCGCAGCTTCTTCCTAAACTACTTTAGGACATAAAACAGTTCACAGTTCACATTATGACTTTGTTCTCACTTGGCTCGTGATTTTATGACTTCTGCAAGTTCGACATTTTCCTTTAGACAATGATTTCCCCAGTAAGCCTTTGAAATAACAGACATTTTCACAATGAAGTTAACAATGGAGTTTTTGTTTAAAGAAAAGCCCAGTGTGGCACATAAAGACATGGACGGGTCAATAATGTGACAGCAGGACCAGTGCAGAAATGATAATAATAATAAATTGAAACAGAACATTTTTTGATAATCAATCAAACTAATTTATTTATAAAACTGCAAAACTTTATCCAGCTCCAGCATCTTAAATGTGAGGCTGTGTGAAGTGTGACTTCACAATATTTGATGACATCTAACTACTTGAAGAAAAGAAAAAGTAAGGGAGAAAATCAGTCTTTAAGACGCCCTCAGAGAAAGAACTCTCATTTGCTTTTTGTTTCATCTCTATTTTGTGTCTGTTTGTCTGTCACCTGTCATCACCTGCTATCTGTCTTCTTCATTACTTTCGTTTCTTTTGTCCTCATTAGATGAGACTTCCTCTTCGCTCCTCTTGCATCTTCAGGAGTTTACTCTGTCTAAGCCAAACCACAACCCCACAGAGCCGAGGCCTGAGTGGTGCAGCCATGCGTCTGGTGCAGTTTCATCGCCATGGTGACGGAGGCATCAGAGTGGGAGTGGAGCAAGGCGAAGGGCTCGGTGTGGTGGATCTGAAGGCGTTTGACCCGTCCATGCCCTCAACCATGAGAGAGCTGCTGGAGCTGGGAGACAAGGGTCTGGAGTGTGCACAGAGGTATCACACATCAGTCTTTTCTTTCTAAATGATCCTCATCAATCATCATCTTCCCTCATTATGCTCTCTCTTGCTTCCAGATCATTGTCTTCCTCCTCCTCAACATAATCTCTGTTATATTCCTCTTCATGGTTACCAGAATCTTCTTAAATCACCATGTTTTTCCTAAATAAATGTCATGTCCTAAATCTACAACCTTCTTGCTTAGATCATTTTTTTTCTAAATCCTCATCCTCTTTCTAAATAATTATCTTCTTGGATTATCGTTTTAAATCATCACCACCTTTCTAAATCACCAACCTATTGTAGTTTAATTATCGTCATAAATCATGCCGATATTAAAATATCACCATCACTTCTTAAATCAAGCAAAACCATTTTCCTACATCCACATCCCTTCCTTAATTAACAACTTCCTGTTCTTGATAAATAAACATTATTTATTAAAATCGTCTTCTTTGTGAAACATCTTCCTAAATGTACTTCTTTGACTTTTTGTTCCTACAACTTTAACTTCAGCAGCATCGTCTTCTTCTCCCTCTTCAACTTCTGTCCCAAACCACCATGATCTTTCTAACACATCGTTGTCCTCTTCCTCCTCAGAGCCTTGGCGTCCGGTCAGTGTGTGCTGGAGCGACCCGACATCCGTCTGCTGTCTCCTGTGTTGGCCCCGGAGAAGGTGGTGTGTGTGGGTATGAACTACCGCGACCACTGCCTGGAGCAGAATGCTCCGATCCCCAAAGAACCGATCATCTTCAGCAAGTTCCCCAGCGCCATCACAGGGCCGTACGATGACATTACACTGCCCCCAGAGAGCCAGGTGAGAGCAAAGAAGGAAATGTTGTCACTTCAAAAAGGTCAAACTGTGTTTTGAAGGGGGAGTGAAGACAATACATAAAAACAAAGAGAAATTAGTACACGACCCACGAAGTAGAAGTTATAAAATCAAGAAAAAGCCAAAGAAATCTAATTGTTTTTAACACTTTCTTAAAAAATCAGCGGTCACAGGGAGGGCACCACAACAAAGTTTTGGACATTTGACGTGATGTAATGAAAGCATGGATGACTTTCTTTTTATTTTTTAATCTTAAGGTTTAAGTTTCTACATTTTACAGTGTTCCTTCGTTAATTCAACAGGATGCAGCAGCATTCGAACAGAGATTTGACACTGAGCTGGGATCAAAAGAAATCCTGAGAGTTTTTACTCCGGCTTTAACAGTGTGTGAATGTAATTGTGCATCGTAATGTCTGGGCAAATGAAAAGAATCAGTGTTGTCAAAGTAAAGTTATAGAAGACTTTGAGAGATCTGACCAAGACACCCTAAATTTAGCCTGTTGTTTGAGATTGAACTTCATCTTATTTTTTTTTTAATTGAAGTAAGAGTCAAGTCAAATTTGTGTAAGAAAATTCCTGAGATAAATTCATCTGCACTATAATAAATCCCATTTTTTGTGCAAGATCTTTTTTTTCCTTATAGAAAAGGATGAGCACTATAAGACACTATCAAGACGTGTCACTATCATCACCACATACTAATTGTACTTCATAAAGTACAGGACACACTGTTTTTATATTTAATTGACCAAGAATCATACTTTAGTGTTTATACTAATGGGAGAAGATACAACATGTGTGGTATTGAATATCAATAAGGAACAATAATCAACAGCAAAAATCAAGCATTTTTTTAAATGCATACTGACTGTTGTGAGTATCTTTCTCCTTTTGTGAACACACTAAAAACCTTTTAAGGATCAGTGTGTAGTTTGGATTTGGGACACAGCTCTGGCTCTTTTTCATGTTCTGTTTGCTTCATCTTGGTCTTTTGTCTGTCTGAAGGAAGTGGACTGGGAGGTGGAGCTGGCCTTTGTGATTAGACGGCGAGGAAAACACATCAAGGTGAGAAAAACATCGGCTCTGATGTCTGTGTTGCTTTGATATTCCGTTGAAGCATCTACTCAGACTCCATTTCCACTCCTCTTGTTGTTCAGGAGGAAGATGCTCTCTCCTATGTGGCTGGCTTCACTGTGGCCAATGACGTCAGCGCGCGTGACTGGCAGATGAAGCGCAACGGGAAGCAGTGGCTGCTGGGAAAAACGTTTGACAGCTTCTGTCCTCTCGGCCCTGCCTTAGTAACTACCGACGCTGTGAACGGTGAGAGGGAACAAGAAACCACAGCGGGGAGAGCGAGACAGAGAGGGGAATTAAAGGCAGTCTGGTGAATCCTGCAGTTATCTGTGATTTGTCCGTCAGCAGCCTCGCTCAGTTAACAAGCTGCAATTCAGTGAGAAGTGTTGCTTTCTTTAGCTGATTGGAACAGCAGGGCAGACACAACTGAATGATAATGGTGGATATCAGTCGAAATGGATTTCTATGGTTAAAAATATTCTTGGTGAACGTGGGCTATTATATTTGTGGCACAGTCACAGAGATATCAATTCAGAATACTTTCAATTTCAAGTTAACACAGTCTTCTGGATCTTCAGGACTTGCATGATGACGTCAATAATAACCCTCAGTTTAATAACTACAGACTGTTTAAGAATGGATTTGTGTTTGGAGAAAAAAAAATTTTTTTTTATCTTGGTTACAAATGAAATTCACAAATGGTTGTTGCTGAATCCTGCACAGATTCTCTGCCTTCCCTCACAGTAGTAAATATACCAAACAAAATTAAATTTCTATTCACCATATCGTCATCATAGCTTTAGATTTTATGATTTCCTTGGCGTATTTCCGCCCAGTAATTTATACATTTCAGGTCTGAATGCAGGTCAGTCCAGTATCATCCTGTTACAACACCAGACAGTGGAGCATCACCCACTGTAGGTTATAATATTTCTCTAAGTCTAGCATCACAGTGGGAAGTCCTTTATTGTATTTTTGTACAACGTTTCTGTAAAGTGAAAGCAGCTGTGCAGCTGAGGGAGTTTGGTGAAGTCACAGAAACAAGTGAGTGTTTAAGGACAAGAAAATGAAAATGTTCTTGGTCCAATAAGTGACAACAGATTAATTAAATGATATTACAGCATTAATCCAAGCACTGCTAAACTTGAAAAATGATTCAACACAATGTATATCAAATAATCAAATTGTTTAAATAACAGCTTCTTTTAAGTAACTATTGCAGAGTGTTCTTGTTTGCATATTTATTCATCATTTTCTTCTTTATTGTCATATATTTGCACATTACTGGGTACTTTATTTCTGTTTCTTCTATTTTCATGTGTGACTATGTCCATTCACCTTCTTGAGGGGTCGTCATGTAATAAGTCGAGGTCTACAGCCACAAACAGGAATATCAGCTGTCCTGCTTTTTGTATCATTCCCCCTCCAGACCCTCACAACCTGGGCATCCGCTGCCTGGTCAACGGAGACACAGTCCAGAGCAGCAACACTGATCAGATGATCTTCAAGACAGCCGCGCTGGTCGCCTGGGTCTCCAAGTATGTCCACTCACCGTCACTGCTCATGATGATGGTGTCTGTGCATGAGAACTCTACAGAGACACTGCATGTTTTAAGTACAGATTTACATAATAAATACAGAGCTTTTACATTTTTCCGCTTCAGTAACTCGCGCTGAGAGTGCAGTTTCCATTTAAGAAATAATGCAATTTGAATTGTGACAGAAATGAATCCAAGAAAAAGGGGACTGTGCGAGCAAATGGGCTCTGTTTCGTGACTGACTTGAAGCTGAAATTACATGATTCAGCAAAGACTTATCTGCCACGGCTGGCACCCTTTTACCCTAAAGCTTTCCGGCCAAATGGGGGCGTTCACTGATCTGATCTGAGATTCTTGGATGGAAAAGCCTCTCGCTTTCTGCCCTGACTCACTGGTGACAACGCCATTCTTTCCACATTTGATAGCAAGTCCTCGAATCTTTATGCTAATGTATATCACTCTGTCTCTTTCCTGCTCCTGAGTCAGGGCCTCTACTGTGTGTTTTTTTTCCTCCTCTGTCAGGTTTGTGACATTATCTCCAGGAGATGTGTTCCTGACGGGCACCCCTCCAGGCGTGGGTGTATTCAGGACGCCACCCGTCTTTCTCAAGGTGATTTCATGCATGAAACTAATTAACATTAAAAATTGTCGAGCTGATTTGCTCACATTCATGTGTCTGTAGCTCCGGTTTTACTTTCACTTCATCCAAAACACAATTTTAATAGATATTAAAGGAGTATTTTAACGGGGTGTTTAACTGTTTTTTTTCTTTCAGAAAGGAGACGTGGTGGAGTGCCAGATAGACCAGTTAGGCTCTATAGTCAACAAAGTGGTCTAACGCCCAAGATAAACTGCTGAAAACAGCAACAATCCATGGAGGAATGTCAGCTGCTAAACAAACTGCACTTCTGATCGCCTGCTTCACACAATGAATTACTATTTCCAGTTAATGTTTCATAATCATTTTTTTTTTTTTTAACTTTTCCGGCTTGATTGTGTGCAGATGTGTAATAAGTGTATGTTTCCTAATGAATGTTTTAGTCATGATACTTCACTAACTGTGTGGAAGGAAAACGTGTTATTTTTTACTATGTGGATGTGTACAATGTAATTACATGAGTCAACATGGTGTTTGCAGCTCAGCCAGTTACTGAGTCACACAGTCATCACCAGCTGTAAAAATACCCTCTATCAACAGTCACGCACTCATGCTACACAACAGAAACTGTGAACCTCCGCACTTATTTCAGTGTGAAAAACAAAAAAGTATTTCTAATTATATTTAATATTCAGGATGATAAATCGTGCATAAAACTTTTCTACTAACTTTCAAACAGCAAACTTTCTCATAAAAAGAAAGCAGATTTCCAGTGATGGGGAAAAATTCAATTTAATTAAAAATATGCTGTCCTCAATATTTGTCGCTTGCTTTGCCTGCGAGAAAATTCTTCATAATTACTTCGATCTGGGCTTTGACTCGTGTACCTGCTCACTTCATTTTTGCTCAATTCGCTGAAGTTGAATTTTTTCACGGATGGAGCTTTAGGGAAACCCCAGGACTGAACAGACCCATTTACATTTTTCAATACTGTGATGAGGTGGCGTGTTGAGCCTGGTAATTATGTCTGCCCACTAAGTCGCTTGATTATGTTAAAAATTATTACTTACAAAATTAGGGATTACATTACATTAATTTGGAAAATTATTTTTTCCAAAGAAGCTTTCAGTTTTCTCAAACGATGTTATACATTGGGAGTAATTTGGGGTTCAGCTTCTTGCTCAGGGACTCTGGGCTGGGCATCAAACCACCAATTGGGTTTTTTTGTAAATATGAAAGAATTTGAAATCAGTCAAGACCGATGTATTCACGGCAACAATTGAATCTGAAGTTAATTGATATCATAAATCTTTCAAGAAAATGTAGTTTTTTCTGTGCAGGATGCTCTTCTGGCAAATTATAGAAATATACTCAGTTGTCACTTTAATCAGCACGCTAAGATAAAACTAATGCAGTGAAGGTTATAATGTTGTGATGCTGCATCTACCTTTTCTTCAGCTGTGTCTCAATACCATACAACATACTGCCTGTGAGCAGTGTAAACAAATATTTAGAGTGTAGTATTCTTACAAGATATCAATATGCTTCGCAGTTTTATACAAGATTCTTCAGTCATTTGATCCAACTGAGACTATAAAATGCCACTGCCAATGAATCAAAAGAAACAGAATTATTATTTGTTTTTAAGGTGTTCTTCAAACCGTTTCATCACCATCCACCATGAATTCTTTCCAGCTGTGAGCAGCTCCTCTATTGTTGGAGAATAGTGTCCACATCGCGCTTCCACTGAACACACACACTCAAACCTGCTTAGCAGTAGTGTGTAGTATGGATTTGGGACCCTGCTAAAGCAAAGGGTGTGTGTGACTACTATTTAGGATGCAACAGTATCGTCAGTTCAACACTGGGTGGCAGTAGAGTTTCACAGTCAGTGAGAGCTGATGAACCGCAGCTTTGATGAGTGCTCGGTTTAGGAGGGTAAAAAAGAAAAAAAAAAAAAGCCGCTCTGCCTCTTGACTGCACAAACAGTCAGCTGTGAACTCCAAAATACTAACGCCTGCCAGAAAAAGCTCTGCCCCGTCTCAAAGCGAGGCATCGATTTGTCTCTGCGTCTTGGTGTCAAAAGGTCTACGTCGAACAGACAGACTCTCCTGAGGTCTGAGTCAGCACAGAGAGCTCTACATTCAGGAGAGCAACCCAGAATGATGAGCTGTTAGGAATAAATCTATAGGAATGGGAATATTATAATATACTGCTGTAAAAGAGTTTAGTTTGTGAACGTGAAACCCACTCTGCGTATGTGCTGGATTTATGATGAAATAACGTTTATTTATTTGAACTAAAAAACCAGAAAAAAGCTGAACTAAAACATTTCCAAATGTAACAAACTAAACTTCTGCAGCCTTCATCACAACATAAACATGGTCGAAACACAAACTGCACTGAGCGTCATCATCCTACAGTGAGTCCTCACAACTGATTACAGGGACTTCATAATCCTCGTCCCCTGTGGCTTTATGCTAATGCTATTACTAAAGATAAACTTAAAATCAATGTCTCATCACTGAAAAATCAAAAGGCAATTAACCTAAAGGCACGAGCATCCTGGCTCAGCATGACTGAACACAAGTTTCTCTGACACTAACAGAAGATGAGGTCAGACTCTGCAACAAAACAAAGCTGTGTCGAGGCCTTGAGTCATACTGCTGAGTTAAACACATTAATTGTAGAGGTACTGTGAGATGAAGCGGTGCAATTTCTGCCTGTTTTCTGACAGCTGGAACAAAGAGCCGATACCCAGGAAGACGCCTCCCTTCTGACGCTCCTCCGAGAGAACCTGAAGTGAACATAAACATGCAGCACCGTCAGGACACTCGCAACCGCAACACTTTTTGTTCAGTAACCTTTATTTGGACACTGAACGCGTGCAGCTTTTCTTATCTTTGGTGGTGTGCTTTTTGTACAAGGACAAATAAAAAAACACTGAAGTAATAAAAGAGATAAACACAAGACCCTTCAAAACAAGAACACTTCAAAAATGAAAAAGAAAAAGAAAACTAAAGATGTTACATAAATAACACTGAACCACCTTATTCACTCAGCAAGGTCTGAAATAACATAATCAGACTGTACTGTCCTGCCTTTTGTTTTAGAGCTGCATTAACACCAGAAAGAAATTTCCCCTTTGATTTGATCTTAAATATCAAGACGTCTTGACATCAGGGATTGGAATTATCTGTCAATTCCCAGAGACAAGCACAATAACAATGATTTCTGACTGATAACCTTGATAAGAAAGCTAATAATTGCCTCATGAGATCTTGGCAGATATATAGGTCAATGATGCTCTATTTTTAAAGGCAGTGTTTAAAGGCAGAGATTCCCAACCCACAGACTGAGAGAGGAGACTGATGGGCGCAGACACTGTGTATGTTGAAAAGGCTGAGTGGTGAAATGCTTGAGCGAGGAATTTGTGCAAAAACATTGATTTTATATACTTAAAAAGATTTAAGATTTATGAGTGAGTTTCTCCATTTTTAAGACTTTCTCCAGTTCCTCTGTTTTTAAGTTGGTGCCAATCAGTGAGTTCGCCCTTCTCCTTTTCATTACTCCTTGCTGTTTGCAGAGTTGGTGCATATGGCGATAACAGGCGCTCATATTCCTATCTGCAAGGCAAACCATTTGCTGCTCTCCTTCTTTCGCTGTATGAAAAACAACTTTCACAGACTTGAAATTTGCCGCAGATAATCCATCACAATAAACATAAAGCCTTTATCTGGTCTCGTCAGAGTTTCTGTTTAATCCTCAATTCATTGTGCCAGAGAAGAGTTTTCCTATCAGGTCACCTCACAACCCACAGGAGGAAAGGGAAATATGTCACTGAGGAACCCTCAAAAATAAGCTGCCTTACTTGTATAACCCCAGCCAAGTATTCAGATCCTCCCCTTTAATAAAATTAGCAAAACCTCAATGTAAAAGTATTAAATTACAAGTAAAAGCCCTGCATTACTTAAGTACAGATGTATTATCTGCAAAACGCACCTAAGTTATCAAAAGTAAAAGGAACTCAAGGGCAGAAAACTTGGTCTTGTGAGTGATGTGTTGTTGTCACTCACTGAGGCGGAGCAAGATTGAACTACTTTACATTTTGCTGGGTAGATTGATCTATATCAACAAATCATATCTTATAATCTGATTATATTGATGATCATATATTTTGTGTTTAAAATTAGTCACTAAAGTAACTAGTAACTATAGTTGTAAACTAAATGTAGGGAAGTACAACATTTGCCTTGGAAATGTAGTGAAGTTAAAGTGCAAAGTGGCATTAAATGAGAATTAAATCAAGCACATGCACATTAGAATTGTGCATAAGTGCGCCACTGATCTCAGCTATGTTTTTATTTAGAGATGTCTTTGTCATCCCACAGGACAATTAAATTAAATGTATGTTTTATGTTATAAAAACCAAATATAAATCCAGGATACTTGGAAACATAATTTGGGGGAAATGTAAAATAGATACACAATAATAGGATTAAAGGTCCATATAACACACTCTTTAAAGACTCAAATATGAAATGTAGATCACTTTGCCACAGTAAAGAGACCTTAACCTGCCTATAATACTCTTTTCCAAATTCTAATTTTAAATCACTTGTGTCCTTGGCCCAGTGAATCCTCTTTATAGACTGACGTTTCTGCTTAAACATGATTGGATATGGCTGGTTCAAGTCAGACTGAGTTACTTTCTTGTTGCATCAAAATCAGGTTGGATTCCTGTCCACGTCGAGTGATTTGGGGGATTTGGGCTGTATTCAGGTTCACCTGGGAACAGGTTAATGTCAGAACTGAATTTTCTGGGAGTTGGACTCTGCCTAAACTTTCTGTCCCGAGTCTAGCTTTAATTCTCGGTAGACAGACAGATTTAGAGAGAGAGACACACACACACACACACACACACACACACACACACACACACACACACAGAGGCTGTCACTCACCCCCAGGTCTATTAGTGTTCTAACTGCGGTGTGTGCAGCCTCCTCGGAGCAGGTCTCTGTGAGATATGGCACAAAGGCACACATGAATCAAAAGAACAGACAGATATCCAATATAGAAAACCAGGTCAGGATAACAGAACAAAGCCATTACCAGTGGGACTGATGGAATTTTTATACTGTGTATTATTGAAGGGTGTCATTTGGGTAGTTTCTGATTGTCTTATATGTTTTTAAAGAAGAAGAAGAAGAATAGAGCATGTGATGTAAGTGGGGGAGCTGCTGGGTGTTTCTTCTTCTGTCTCTGCTGACTTGTTACAACACACACTGAATCAGTAGGATGAGGCAAAGCTACAAGCTTGAAGCTACGCTTTTAAAGATCTTTATGTGTGGTGGGATATGAGTGTGTGTGCTTTTGGGATGGGGGATGTCAGGTGGCGCTCACCATAGTGCTGTTTCTTCTTACTTGCTGTGTCACACAGATACGAGTGTATCTGAGCCACAAACTCTTTTTCTGAAGCAGGAAAGACATGAAAATGGAGGCAAACATTCCAGACAATCTACAAAGTCATTGTACGAAGTTATATACTTTTCCTTTTTTTTTTTTTATCTGTATCAAATTAAAATTAACACCAGGAAAAGATAACTGTTATAGCCCTGTAAAGATACAATACATTTACCTGGCAGAGGTGTGTCTATGAGGTCCAGTCCTGTCACGGTCCAACACAGTGCCCTCAGATGTCCAGCTAGCATACTGCAGAGGAAGAAGAGCATCTGCGGACACTGACTTGGCTGGCTTATCTAGAAAAGTAGACAGAGATCAGAAATGGCAAAATGAGGATGAGGGCAGAGCTGG